AGAATTGACTATTCTAAGTTGCAATAGGAAAAAGGAACATTGGTGCAATACTTCGTGTCGCTTAGAGTAATTCTAATTATTGCAGAGGGAAGCAAGTGAGGGTGGGTGAACCAACGTCACTGCGCGAACAGGAAGCTATGTTTGCTTATCGAAACGCTTATAACTGAAGAAAATGCTTGTTAAGGTTTGAATGCCTTGGGTGTCCTGCACGGGTGTGGTTCGCTAAGACAGAAAAAACTCTTACGCTTTTCGCACGCGAAGATTTTTTTCGCTGCGAGAGCTCCAAGTCAAAAAAATGCGAAAGCTAAGCAAAAATTATAATTGTATCGCAGCCAAAATACAAGCCATGAGTTTGCAGGAAATCACCTCAGGAGTCACATTCGTAACCGGATTGGGACATAGAGGATGAGCGCCCAGCCACGCCAAGGAAGTGTTGCATAGACCCCAGGTGAAGACCAACACCACAGTGCTGTGAAGCCACTTATATAGATTCACTTCAAAAAAATAAATGGCACATTTTATAGAAATGTAGCTTCACAGGATGGACAATGATGCTGGAAGCCTGTTCAAAGTATCTCATGGGAAGACCTAACGTGTCTATCAATCAAGCAGAAACTGCTGTTAAGTCATGCACTCAACAAAAAGCGTACGGGCCCAGCCTACAAATTGCAATAATCCATCAACCCAAGGGGTCCCTAAGTTTCTCGTTTGGAGCCCGGAATAGGTACGGACACATCGAATGGCACTGTGTGTCTGGCCGCTGAATGGCGAAGCGCGAATTTGTCAGGTGCTGTGGGCAACAGCCACAGCTGAATCAATGAAAGTTCCAAGTAAAAATTACATAGTGGACAAAATGATGGAAATTGCAAAAATCAATACATACTGTCTTAGCAAAAGTCATTTAAATGCAAGGGAAGTGAGGGAAATGCAGAAAATTTGGTGGAGGCGCGAAGAGGCCCATCAATTTCCGACAGCTTAATAGAACAGAATCAAGAAGAAATGGCAAACGCTTCAATAACACGCATCGCTGCCTCAATTTGATGGAGGGGGGAGGATGGTATTGAGGAAGAAACTGTAAAAGAAGACTTTGAAACATCTTTACGTGGCGTTGAAATGATGACAAAGCCATTTTCAGGTATGTGGTGTAAATTTCAAAAGAATGGTGTCATGTTTGTTGTAATACTTTCAGGCTGTCGTTAGTAGATTCCTTTTATTTTATGAAAACTGTCGAAATCACAGATCGCCGCGGTACAACAAGGTTGACCCTTAATAAAAACAACCCATCCCTGCCCTCTTCCTCAAATATTAGGTACATGTTGCAAAAACAGCTAAAAATGGATAGTAATGGGTCTTGTAACAATGACGATTGCAAGTAGCAGTT